TATTCCCAGGAGATACTTTACGCGCCCCAAGTCTTTAATGTCAAAGTTCATACTGAGATATTTCTTCATCTATCTCACTCATATTACTCCCTGAGATAACCATATCATCCACATAGATATGGACAACAATAATGTTGCTAGCCCAGTGTTTGATAAATAAGGTGTAGTTCGACTTACTTCTGAAGAACCTAAATGTGGTGAGCGCTTTGCTCAATTTTCCATACCAAGCATGAGGAGATTGCTTTAGACCATAGATCGCTCGCTTTAGTTTCCACACTTTACCAGGTGAGACTCAAGAGGATGACCTGGAAGTATATCCATGTAGATCTCCCCTTCAAGTTCTCCATGCAAAAAGACATTTTTAACATCCATCTAAAAAAGTGGTCATCCGTGATTGATGACAACGAACATAAGGACCCTTACTATGTTAATTTTTGCTACTGGTGCTAAGGTTTCAGTGTAATCTACGCCGTAAGTTTGAGTGTACCCTTTTGCATTAAGACATGTTTTGTGTCGCTCAATGCATCCATCACTTTGATACATGATTTTATGAATTCACCGGCAACCAATAATGTTCTTACCTTTAGGAAGAGTCACAACTTTCCTGGTGGTACTCCATCTGGTACCACATCTACTGGTGGTATTATATCGACGACATCTATTGGTCCATTTGAAGTTGGTCTAAGGCAAAAATCAAGTTGTGTTATAGGTAAGGTATCCCCCTGATTTTTATCCCTAGAAGAAAAGTACATAGTTTTTTCATCAAAATAAACATCTTGAGAGATATATAACTTCTTGACAACAACATCATAACACTTGTAGCCCTATTTGATAGACTAAGTATCCCAAAAAAATGCATTTTGTGGCACATGGCTCAAGCTTGTTGACATTTTGCAAGTGAACAAAGCACATATAATCAAATACGCATAAATGAGAAAGATTTATATCACAACCATAGAGCACAACCAAAGGAGACCTGTAATGAAGTTGTTTAATGGGTGTACGATTGATGAGGTAACAACTTGTGAGCATTGTATAAGACCAAAAATTAAAGGGAATATTGACATGAAAAAGTAAAGACTGAGTGACCTCTAATACGTGTCGATCCTTTCGCTCGGCAATGCCATTCACCTGAGGGATACCAACACACGATAACTAATGGATAATTTCCACAAATTTAACAAATGTCTGTATGGAGTAATTAACATATTCAGTACCATTGTCACCGCGCATAATTTTAATATTCACCCCATACTGAGTTTTAAATTATTTGATAAAATTCCTAAAAATATTGCATACTTAGATTTTGAGCGCATTAAGTAAAGCCACGTGCTACGAGTTATTTTGCCCACAGTCAAAGATATCAGATGATTTGTTGCCCTTTTTATAAGCCATATTTGATACATGATTAACATCAAGCAAATCTTCTAATTTATCTCCACTAATATCTTCAACATTGTTTTTTTTTTTGATTAATATGTTTTTGTTTATAATTATAACAAGATTGTTTTATTTTATTATATGTTAAAGATTTGTTAAATAAGTTATTTTTTATTTCATTTTTCATAAAAAACTTTTTTAAAAAAAAACTTTTTTTTTATAAATATCAATATAAATATATTAACTAAAAATAAATTTTAAAAAATCACATACTACCTACAGTTTTTCATTAGCTACAACAAAATAAATTAAACAAAATAAATTAAACCATTATGATTTTTTTTTCTCGACAAGATCATAATACACATCACAGAAATAGTCTTTGTATGTAGTTTCCTTTTATTAACTAACTTTTTCAATTTGGTTTTCGTCCATTGATACAGTTTATGTTAATTCATAAGTTGGGCTTCCCTGAATTGGATAATTTGATTAATTTCTATACTTTTTTAGATGAACCAAGGCAAATCGAGGAATACCTGATCTGTAAAAGAACATGAATCTGCCGAAAGGCCCTCTCTACGGGGGAAATTTAATATAGTACCGTCACACGACGGTCATATTTGCACTATATATTTTTTAAAATGTATAAAATTATTCTGTTTGTGTGATAGAGATGTCTAGTCGAAGATTAGTAGATCTATATGAGATTATGTGCTTTTACCTTTAGGGTGTATTTGGTACAAGGGTATCAAAAAGATTATTGGTAAACCTTCTTTGGTAAACATCAATTACCATGTTTGGTAGAAGTATCAAAAATCAGTTCCCGGATATCCAAGATTTACCGGTAATTTGATTTACAAAGGACACTATTCAAATTACCAAAAATAATATGGTAATTCAGAATTCCAAGTAAAGAAAAAACACAACAACAATTTTTGAGATAAAAATACTCCAACACACATCAAAATCTAGACCCAATCTATCAATTACAAAAGTAAAATTAGTTTAGAGTTATTTTTGTAAAATAACATCATATTTCAAGTCATATTTCGTTCTAAACCAAATATGGAGTGAGTAATCTTTACCCAATATTTCCGGTAATATTTTGGCGAATCAAACACTTTTTTTGTAATATTCTGAGTAAACTCAATTTCTAGTGTATTTTCAGTAATCGTGATTTTCGAATATCAAAAAATTTCTCTTGTATCAAACACTCCCTTAGAATTTGGCTAATTTGAACCTTATGCTGAATAGGCCTAACTGACTCCTTACTTAGCTGACATGTGATTATTTCTAATGGGCCATATGAATCTATGGGCCTTACTCAGATCCATAACAAATATAAATATTAAAGTTATTTTTTTTCTCTATTATTGATTGATGTGGAGAAAAAAAATAACTTTAATATTTATATTATGTATTCTAAAAAATATATAATGTAAATATGACGATCACACGAAACATTTAATACGACAGTGATATCAAAAATGCTCTCTAAGGGAACTTCTTGGGATCCGCTTTGTTCTTTTACGTGAGACTCTAAGCAAGGTTGGAGCTCAAATCTTTGTAAAGTGCAATATGGAACAAAACTTTCCGTCAAAATCCCATATCTCTATTTTAATTCAATGTACATTTTATATGTCAAAAAATTTCCCACAAGTAAACCTTTAATACACTACAAGATTTTTTATTTATCATCACGCCCCAAAACCGTGGTCTAAACCTTTTATTTATCAATTATCAACCAGGTTGCGCCACATTAAACCACTAGCACAATCTGATTGGTCCATACACTTCTCTTTTTAAATTAAATAATACAAATAAAAATAAGCGTGGCTAGCTAGGAGTTGTAACACTGACCACCCCCATTGAAAGTTATATATTGTCAACAATACCAAATGAGAGAAAAGATTGTGGTTTTCTTTGACCCCAAAAGGGTCAAATAGCCATTAACTCATTCTTTATAATGAGATAAGATGTGTATGGGAGTAAGGGAAATAGTGTATATGGTGTGAAGAAGTTCAACTTGTAGTGAAGACAGGAAAGATAGGGCTTGAATCGGGCCCAAATCCGTCATCGAGAACAGTTAGGAAAGATAACGAAACACACTTTATTAATTCATAGAGTATGTAAAATAATAGCACCTAAAATTCAAAATAGTAGCAAGTTAGCAACTAGATGAAATATTTATCTCTATCCCAGCTACTAAATAATAGAAACAAAAATTAAGAAACAAACTTATACTAAAAATCAAAGTAAATCTCAGCAAAATCAGATGAACGTAAAAAATTCTCTCTCACAAAACTATATATGATTATATTGTTCATACTTTTGCGAGCAATATAATGTTTTTAAATAGGAAAAGATAATAACAATGATTCGTTTCAGCGATGGAATTACATGGGGTTAGGGTGGGCTCTCGTCCCTCTCTAAAATATGAAAATATGTTCTAGTATATGATATGCAATATGGTTTGAAAAAACAAAATTTTGAAAGTGCTTTTAAAAAGTGAAAGACAAGCGATGCTATTCATAAGAAAAATATTCCATCCGTTTATTGCACTCAATTAGAGATAAGTATTATTTACCAGATTCAATCTGCCAGCATATATGGCAGGTTTTGTTCTTGGTCTGTGCTACCCTCCCCAGTCAATCTGAAAAGTTGGCTTTTCCGTTGTATACAAAGAAGAGTTCAATACTACCTGTCAAATTTATCTAGAATTTGATTATAATCATTAAAAATTTGTACAAATTGTCATGTCAGAACTCAGTAAAAGAGTATTTAAGTTTTAACTTTGTAAGCAAAGATAAAACGTTAGTAATAGTTATCAATTATTAGTTGAGACCAAATGCTAAAATTAAATAACACATTAATTGATTTATTCTGCTACATAACAGCTAAGAGAGAAAATAACATTATGAAGAAATCAAAGAAAGTGCAATTATAATACTAGAAGGCATAGATGTAAACAATAAAAATTTGATCTTACAAACAAAATATAAGGTTTTAAGGCTAGTTCCTTATTAAAATAGATGGTGCATTGGGCCATTGTCACTAAAAGCAAAAAATTGGCATTCCAACCAAAAAATTGGTAAAAAATTATGTAATTTTATTAGGTTCTTCTTAACAGATATTTTTGTATTCTTAGCGTGATCATTTAACCAAAACTGACATTACTTTTCATAATACTAATATAAATTTTTGCCCCGTCATATAATTTAATGGGTCCGCCACTGCTTGTTCGCGGCTTCGGAGTTTTAGGGACTAAATTGATGTCATATAAAAATATTGTACAAAACCAAATTAAAAACATTGTTTATAAAAAAATAGGATAATGTGACAACCAAATAATGTTACTACCACATCTTAACCGTTGATTTTCGTCAATAAACGGTTATCATTTTTCAAATCAAACTCATTAATTAATTATTAATTCACAATAAATGATAACCGTTAATTGACGGAAATCAGCAGTTAAGATGTGATAATAACATTATTTGGTTGTCAGAGTATCATATCCCAATAAAAAAAAAAGTGTTAAGCCTAAAAACAATCTAAAACTATTATTATTTATGTGTGTCTATTACGGAGTTAATGTGATTGTGGGATCCATGAGGTAAAGGGGGAAGGCACGCATAACAGGAGCGTCGCTTGACTACAGAGTTCGAGTTCCACAAGCAAAAACGACAAACCGTTTTTCAGCGTTGGAATGGGTAAAGCAAGGAATTCATTAGGGGTTTAGGCGCTCCTGGCAAAACGACTCTTGTGGAAGATTCAGAGTGTGTTGCCAGTTTCATTGATGTCTCTCAGTCACTCTCATTCTCAGGTTGGATACTTGGTTCCGCTGAATCAAAATTTGGAGGAAGAAGCTTCAGTTCCCAAGTTGCCTGTCTCAGATGGCACAAATGTTTTTGGGCGCAACAACTTTCCTCTCTCCGACAAGAGGCTTAGCCGCAAGCACCTCAGTTTATCTGCTTCTGCCGATGGCTCTGCTAATTTGCTTGTCGTATTAACCCTTGCACCTTACAACTACATTCTTCTTGAGGTTTTTCTTTCAATTCGTGATTTTTTATTTTATTTTATTCTTTGTTAATGTCAGGAGGGGACGAATCCAATTGTTGTTAATTCAGGGAATAAGAGAACGAAGCTGAATTCTAAAGAAAAAGCTACTATTTCTAATGGTGATATAATCGAGCTCATTCCCGGTCACCATCTTTTTAAATATCAAGTGTTAGGTGGTCACAAAAATAACCGTAAAAGATCTTCAAGTGGTAGAAACAATGAAGCTAATGTATCATTCACAAATAAAGCTTCGGAGAGGCTTTCCCAGGTTTTCACTGCTGTCTTCATAATCGTACATTTTATGTATATATACATGGGATAGGATATTCTCATTACGCACAATGTTACGATCACATTTTAACTATTGATTTCCGCCAATCAACGGTTATCATTTTTCAAATCAAACTCATTAATTAATTATTAATTCGCAATAAATGATAACCGTTGATTGACGGAAATCAATGGTTAAGATGTGGTCTAACATTATTTGTGTGTCACAATATACTATCCCATATATATATATATATATATATATATATATATATATATATATATATATATATCCCGTTTATGTTTAACCGTCACAGTGTGTCTATGTTTTGTGTGAAATCTGTAGGATAAAATTGAAACTTGCAGCCAGGAACGAGGAAGTAATGTAGTGACACAGAAGCTTGAGGCCATTCGTGATTTCCATGTTCCTAATGACAAAATACCTTCCACCTTTCGACTATTGCGTGTTAATGGGTTACCACCTTGGGCAAATACTTCTTGTGTTTCAATAGGCGATGTTATTAAGGTTGGTGATGGTAATTATATTCTTGATTTCAAGCTATTCTGTTCTTTGCTGTGCTCTCTTGAATCGGTATCCTGAACAATAAATGTTGTGCTTCAAGGTAAACCCTGGATGTTTCAACAATTGGCTAAGAATAATTATGCAATTGTTCAAGAGGAACCTTGTCTGTTTCAATCATTGGCTCAAGAATAATTGTGCACAAAAATGCACATATGTTAAATTGCACAAGTATTTTAAGATGGAAAAAATTGGAACTACTTATTGATTTATTTCAATGCTTATCATTGTTAGGGGGATATTCTTATTGCTATCCTTTCAAACTACATGGTAGACATTGACTGGTTGATTCCTGGTGAGTTTTTTTTCTTTTTTTAGATTGTTCTAATTTTTCTTTGCTTGTTCCTTTCTCTTCTTTCCCCTAATTTTTCCTGCTTGTAATCTGACTTTTTTCTTTTCCTTGATACACTGCTCTGAGATGCTGCAAAAATTATAAATATAGAGAAGTTGGTCTTTCTTTGTTGAATGTTGAAACTGCTGGCAACAGTTGGATTGTTAATTCTTTTCTCTACACCTCCGTCCCACCTACGGAATAATACACCCACACACACATACAAACCTAGTTCCATGCCTCTCTAGTGTAGTGTGTATGGCACCAGTGATATAGCACATGCTCTGTCTTTCTTATGCATCTTATATGGAAGATTATTTTATTGTACTTTACATATTAGCCTAGCCAAAAGGGGCAACCTAATGATCAATCTCTACATTATGCAGTGCTATTTGGCAGGTCTAGTATTCTAAATTTGTGCGTATACCGGTGTATTTTGATTGAAGTCCTCTTACTGTTGATCTCAATCTAGTGAGGTTTTCCCTGACTATATTTTGTTCGTGTAGCATGTCCTGCACTTTCAAAAGTGCCCCATGTGCTAGTTATTCATGGAGAGAATGATGGGAGGGCAGATTACATAAAGGTTCATCTCAGATATAATTTATTTAATTATTTATTTTTAAGATGGATCAATTAGACTGGTTAAATACATAGTAACTTGGTACTTCTATGATTGTTAGAGAAACAAACCTGCAAACTGGATTCTGCACAAACCATCACTGCCAATTTCATTTGGGACACACCATTCAAAGGCCATGCTTCTTGTATATCCTCAAGGAGTAAGAGTCATTGTGCATACTGCGAACTTAATTTATGTAGATTGGAACAATAAAAGCCAAGGTTTGTGGATGCAAGATTTTCCATGGAAAGATCAAAATAGTCTGAGCAAGGGATCTGGATTTGAAAATGACCTGGTTGAATATCTCAGTATGTTGAAGGTATTGATATATACTGTTCTTTTATAGACAACCTCAAGAAAAAATGGGGCTTCAACCACATTGATGTGTTAAAATTAATACTTAATAGTTCTTGAAAGACCTAATGGTAGTATCGTATCCCAAATTACTAGACAGTTGGATTAAAAATCTTCTTTGAGCCTATCCTGTTTTAACAGAATCCGTCGTATCATTTTAGGTTTTTTTTTTTGAAAAAGCTTATCCTTTGATTAAATCAATTTCTAGCATTTCTGTCGTCTAGAAAATTCACTTGTTAAAAGTTTTTGATAGGAATAACTCCCTATCTAAAGTTTAAGAAATTTATATTAACAATTAAAGAGATAATTTATAGATAACCAAGAGCAATGCTCCCAGCAAAGGAGAAGATTCTCCCAGCCCTTCAGCCAAGGCTGAAATACAAGCCAGAAAAACAAAATAATCCTACCCATCCCTTCTACTTACGTACATATAAAGAGCCCCCAACACTACTGCATTTTCATAACTATTATTGCAGTTATTTATTTAAATAACTGACTCGTACATATTTAGTTATTTCTGCAGTTATTTATTTAAATAACTGACACCTACATACTACTAGAATAAGTGACCCCATTACATAAATGAACTACACCCATTACTAGTCACTAACTTAAATTATATTGCTATCAATACCACCCTCCCTAGAAACTGCCTTGTGCTCAAGGAAGAAGGCTGGAAATTGGCCTCAAACATTTTCTATGTTTTCAATCGGCTTGTTCCTCCACTACTAACAAGGACTCTGAATTGCCCACCAGATCTTTTTCCACCCAAATAAGGAGTCTCAACTGACGATCTTGACACTGGTGGGTTGGACTATAATGTCCACACTAAAAACACAAACCTTTGGCCCTACGATACATTAATTCCTGGTAAGAAAGATTTATCTCTCCTCGGTTTCACCCCCCTGCCTGTTTGTCATCTGTTTTCACTCCCTTTTATGAGGGCTCTTGCTGCTGGAAAGTGGCTTTAGTCACACTAGCCTTAATTCCACTTGATTCAGCATTTTTTGTACCAAATGCATATTGCACAACCACGATTGTGTTCCTACGATTATTTCCTTGCTCACACCCTCCCCTTGCATATTTGGAATCTCCTAATTTTCTCTCTGCCAATTTTGCTGCAGCAATAGCCTTGTACTTATCAGGTGGATCCATAGCCAAAACTTCCAAATGAAGTCGTTCCTTCATTCCTATAAATAATCAATATATTGCTCCTCAGGCATCGGTGGTACTTGTGTAGCCAAAATCTCAAACTCTTCAATATAATCATCCACGAACCCTGTTTGTGTAATTACCTTAAGATGCGCAAAAGGATTCTGTTGAGATATATAAAATCATTAATGTAACATCACTCAATACCTTAAGGTTTTGGGTTGAAGTGGTTCTTTACATAGTATCAGAGTCTCAGTGTCACGGGTTTGATCCTCATCGCTCCCACTTTCTCTTGTGGAATTTCTTAGTACAGGTAGGTGGACCTGTGCATTGTTCACCCTTTAAGCCCAGTGGACTCTCGTGTTGAGATATATAAAACCATTAATGTAACATCACCCAATACCTTAAGGTTTTGAGTTGAAGTGGTTCTTTACAGATTCTCCAAGTGGCTGTCTCCATATCGGTCAAATAAAGCACGCTTAAATTTTTCCTAACTCATTTACGAATCAGACTTCCTCACAACCTTAAACCAATACCACGTTGCTCCCTCCATGCACACTTGAGCGAATTGGAGGCGTAATTCTGGTGGTGTCTCTTGAACAGAAAAATAGGCTTCTGTATGTGCCACCCATCCTGTTGGGTCTTCTCCAAAAACCATGGGCAGTTCAATTTTCTTAGCAGAGAGTTGATACTCATTATTTCGGTGGAAGATGTTGTTGTGATTTGGCCCAGCATTACTATGTTCTTCGTTAATTCCAGATTTGGTGAGGGAGGATCCTAATGTATGCTGTTGTCTTTGGAAACCATCATGGATCTCTGTAGTTAAGGTTGCTAGTGATCTGGTGATGTTCTCAATGCTGGAATCCAGGGAATCCAGTTTGGTAATGATCTTCCAATTGCGTTGAGTGTGTCTTCGTTGCTGCATCATGATTCCTCAACATTTCTTCTTGTGATTTCAGTGAAACTTCAACCGCAGCCATATGAGAGTCTAAAACATCAATCCTTTGTGTTGCCATCCTTCTGATCATGCATTAAACTCAATGAAAGCACCAATTAATAGGAATAACTCCCTATCTAAAGTCTAAGAAATTTATATTAACAATTAAAGAGATAATTTATAGATAAACAAGAAGATTCTCCCAGCCCTTCAGCTAAGGCTGAAATACAAGTCAGAAAAACAGAATAATCCTACCCATCCCTCCTTACGGACATATAAAGAGCCCCCAACACTACTGCAGTTACATCACTATTATTGCAGTTATTTATTTAAATAACTGACTCCTACATATTACTGCAGTTATTTATTTAAATAACTGATCTTACATACTTCTAGAATAACTGACCCCATTACAGAACTGAACTACACCCATTACTAGTCACTAACTTAAATTATATTGCTATCAGTTTTCAACTTAGATTATGTGAAAACCTTGTTGCCTATCTGAGTACTTATATGGCTTGTGAAATTTAAATAATTGGCAACAGAAGTTGACATTGATCTTGTTGATTGATTGGGTATTGTCATTAGTGTTGCTACTACTATCCATATTATGCATTTGACTATTATTTGGTGGTTCAGTGGCCAGAATTCTCTGTTAAGATTCCATCCCTTGGAAACTTCAGTATATGTGCATCTTTCTTCAAGAAGTTTGATTATAGTGATGCTATGGTATGTTTTCCATTCACTGTTCTTAAATTACTTCCTATGTTATTTAAAGGTTATTACTTATTATGTTGTAAAATTTGATTCATTGTCAGATACACTGAAATTTGGGTATATGATGCTGTTTGGATTATACTCAGGTTAGATTAATTGCATCTGTACCTGGATATCATTCTGGTACTGGTTTAAAAAAGTGGGGACATATGAAGCTGCGTTCTCTGCTCCAGGAGTGTACTTTTGATGAAGAGTTTAAGAACTCTCCCCTTATTTATCAGGTACTGACAGACTGTGGCCCAGGTTACATTATGTCTTGGGGCAGCTGGTTCTTGTTAAACTCAACTCCTGTGTTAAATGAAAAAGTTAATAATAAACTATCATACTATTGGTATATTTTCTTTCATTTGATCATCTTCAACTGATGGTAGTAAAGTTCTGAGTAGAATGTATCTTTTTGTGAGAGATTTTAGAAAAGTGCCAGATTAATCTTCACACTTTTGTTCATATTTTTAGCCTATCTATGCAGTTCTCCTCCCTTGGCTCTTTAGATGAAAAATGGATGGCTGAGTTGGCATCATCAATGTCAGCAGGTTTCTCTGAAGATAAAACACTGCTTGGTATGGGGGAGCCTCAAATAATATGGCCTACTGTAGAAGATGTCAGATGCTCTTTAGAGGTAAAGTATCTAGATTTTGAGGATGTATTTTTGTCTTCTGAAAAAGAGAAAAAAATTACTCCAGGTTTGCGTTTCATGGTCAATTATAGGGTTATTTGAAACTGTAGTCAAATATTTGTCGACATGTTACATGCCTAGTCAAATATTTCTGACTACTCTATCCTTAATTCCTATCTTCTCTGATACTTGTTGATGTGCAGGTTTTTTTTTTTTTTTTCATTTTGATGTGTTTCGTAATTGAATCTAAGTGCAACTTTCCAGACAATTTTTTTGCCTTTTATTTGTTCTGTAGGGCTATGCAGCTGGAAATGCAATTCCAAGTCCTCTGAAGAATGTGGAGAAAGCATTTTTGAAAAAGTATTGGGCAAAATGGAAAGCAGACCATACGGGTCGTAAGTAAGTATATTTTATCATACATTGAAAGTTGTATCAGGACTTTTTAATATTGCCTTTTACATTAAGACTCCTTTAGCCTTTCTGATTAATTGAATTTTTTAGCAATGTATTTGTTTACATTTTCTTGGAATTATATAATAATTATACAATATTTTTAGCAACCCATTTAATGAACTGGAATCAAGAACTTGATTACTTTTGTTTTATGAGGGAAGTATAACTTAGAAACCTCCCTCCTTTCCTTGCTTCTTGGTACCAGGAAAGGATTATCTGAACCCCCGGAAGGCAAAGTAGAAAACTCGGCACTACTATTTGGCAATTTTGAATACGCCTCACAAATTTTTATTGGGGATTAATGCAAATATGTGTCTCACCAATTATACCTATTTTTGTGCTATCTTTCAGCCGTGCTATGCCACATATAAAAACTTTCACCCGTTATAATGGTCAGAATCTTGCGTAAGAACTTCTTCACCAGACCTATTATTCTATGCACTTCAATTTCTTATGATTGTTGAATTTTTTGGTCATTTACTGCACTGCTAAGTCATGCTATAGATAGTTAACCGTGAAACACCCTCTTCCCAAATAGTTGGTTCTTGTTAACGTCAGCAAATCTCAGCAAGGCTGCCTGGGGAGCTCTCCAGAAGAATAATACTCAGTTGATGATTCGTTCATACGAGGTATGTTATGTTTGCCAGACTGTTGGTGTTCTTATCTGACTGTTCAGACCCAAGAATTGATGAGCTTCATTGTTTTCAAGACTTGCCTAATGAATCACATGAATCCGAAGATGTTAAAACGATTGTTTTCTCTGATTATTGTTTCTTATAATTGGGGCATTTGCAGTCAAATACATTTTATCCTGTTCTCCAGTTGTTGCACTAAAATAATATTTTTATACATATTTCCTTGCAGCTGGGAGTGCTCTTTCTACCATCATTATTCAAAAGACGTGGATGTGGATTTTCATGCACCAGTAATGTTACACAATCTGAGGTAGCAAACACGTCCTCGCTCTTTGATGTTGTTTTGTGCTTGACATGATTAAACTACAAATGGTCAGGGAGAAGGAAGGATCTTTAAGTCACCTCCATGACTATGAGAAAGGGTGAAAGACACCCATGCTAATAATTTAAGAATTACAGGATAAATGCACAGCACAAGAAACTTCTGACATGAAGAAAACAAAACTGGTAACCCTGACTGGGCTGACGAGGGAGAGTACACACTCATCATCTGAAGTCATCATCCCATTACCTGTGCCTTACGAGCTCCCTCCCCTGCCTTACTCTTCCCAAGGTCGTGGTGCCCTGTTACTCAGCTATTTCTCATATGACCCCTGGTCTAAGAGGGATGACTCTTGTTACGTGTCTTCTAATTATCATTTTCCTCTGCAGATGTCCCCTGGTCTTGGGACCGGCGATATAGTATGAAAGATGTTTATGGTCAAGTATGGCCACGGATGTAAGCATATCAAGATTGATGACATCCTTAGTGTTCATATCAATTGGTTCCCTCTCCCGTGTTAATTCAATTTTGGAGGCTTTAAGAACATGGCAGATTGATTTTGCAACCCAGAGTTTCCTTAGGCATGTATGAGTCCTACTTGGAACGAAGGTATCTCACTTTACATTCCACACGTTTCGGTCAAAAATCAGGGTAAACTATAGTTTTGGAATAAAATATACCAAAGATAAAATGTATTGAGTTTCCTTGAGCATGTACGAGTCCTACTAGGGAGTAGGGACCAAGGTATCTCATTATCGCTTATTTTACATTTTCCATTTATCAATGAACGTAGCTTTTTGTCACTAATTGCAAAATGAGGAGTGAGCATATATATATATATATATATATATATATATATATATATATATAAGGATTCGTTTATAAAGTTTTTTTTATAAATTACATTAAGTATGATAGGTCATACACTAATTAATAGTGTATGCGGTTATACTTAGTGTAGTTTGTAAGAGTTTTGTTATGGACTAGATCTATATCCTAACAATCTTATTACTACCAAGATTGGATAGGGATATCATATTCATATAATCTAGAGAGGATCAAGAGATAAGATCTCTATCCCTATCAATCAAGGCATATTTCATATCAACTAGACATCTCAAAGGCCTAAGCCTGTAAAGGTAATCTTTATAAATAAGTGGCTAAAGATTTCAGGTACACACTTTTGACCTATTTATTATTACTGCCAACACTGTGCATAAACTCACGTCTTGGCTACACACCCATTAATAGTGCACAGTGATTGGAGTACTGGCTACAAGCCAATCAGGATATCTATCTCTAAGATATCTCTGAGTGCATATCCTTGAAGTATCCTTATACGGTTCAACAGGACCGAACAAGTTTGTAAAAAAAAAATTTATAAATATTTGAAGTATCCACTATATATATATATATATAGTGGCGGACTTAGAAAATATTTTTTATGTCCGCACATTTAGTGACGGGAGCTGCCCTTGAAATTTTTTTTTTTAAAGAAAATTTCAAATGCATTAAAAAATAAAAAATATAAATAAGAAAAAAAAACTTTAATTTAACATAAAAAATTATTCCCCCTATTTTTTTTTAATCAAGCTGATTTGTTGTATGTCATCATAAAATAGTCAATAAAATATATGTTATCCCATTCCATTTCATCGTATTCCATTCATTTTCATTCTATCTCTCATTATATATCCAAGCAAAATCTAATCTAACCAACATCATATTTGACTACTATACTTAAAAAAAAAAAAATCAGAAATTAATGTCCGCAAGTGCAGACATAGGTGACCAACTAGGTCCACCTATATATATATATATGAGGTATGATTCTTTAACACCTGTGTCAAATTTAAAGTTTGACACCTCATCTGAAAGTCGTTAGATAAAAAAAGATCAACGACTCTGATTTGTAAGCCTGTGACACCATTGATCTTTTTTGATCTAACGGCTTTCAGATGAGGTGTCAAACTTTAAATTTGACACCGGTGTCAAAGGATCCTACCTATATATATATATATATATATATATATATATATATATATATATATATATATATATGAGCTAAGATCTTTTGACACCGGTGTCAAATTTAAAGTTTGACACTAGTTCTGAGAGCCGTTAGATCAAAAAAGATCAACGACTCTGATTTGTAAGCATGTGACATCATTGATCTTTTTTGATCTAACGATTCTCAGATGAGGTGTCAAACTTCAAATTTGACACCGGTGTCAAAAGATCCTGCCTCTATATATATATATATATATATATATGTGTGTATTTCTCCTTCAAGATTGAGATTTTATTTTTTTGCAGTGACTGGAGTTTATTTTTTTTCCTCTCTTTTGTCCTCAACTTTAATATGAGTGCAAGAGGTAAAAATTATCTCTATCTTGCTGGAGAAACATTAAATAAAGCAACCATTTTCATTTAGATGAGTTAATTTTGAATTCTCAAAACTGGCAACTTAATACGGTCGAAAGTTTGTGATGCAAGTCCAAGATAGACATCTTATTCGAGTTGGAAGGTTCATGTGGATAAGCTTCGCACCTAAAAATGATAGGTGGATAAGCTTCCTTAATTTTAATAAATGTCCTTTATTTCTTTTTAAATTCAATTATAATTTTAAGCAAGCAAAATAAAATGCACAATTCAATCAAAAGAAAAATTAATTTAAAAAATGACATTAAATTACTATAAATAATAGTCACCGTCAAATAAAAATACCTTACTATATAAATCTACTGAAAATATCTAATATTAAATAAAAGATAAAAAATAAGAAATAAAACAATTTTAAAAAATAAATAAATACTTATTTATCAATATATTTAAAATAAATAATTTTATTTATATAAATAAAGTTAAATGCTAACATATCAATTTATTAAAAAATATTTGTAAACTATTTCTTATTTATTTATATTAATTTAAAGTGACATACTTTAATTTTCCCTTTCTACTTGCCAAATGTTTCATGGCTAGTTGAGTGCCCTTTCTCTAACATAAATACGTATTTATCCTTTCTTTATTGTCCTTTTCTTTCTATAACTCTATTCGAGAATATAATTTTCTTTTCTTTTTTCATTATTAATCACCCTAACCTGAAAAAAAAAAAGGTAACTGATATGGATATTAATATGAGATCTACATAAACAAGGTCCACTTTCAAAGTCTCCATCATTAAGCAAAACTTTGGTCAACAAAGGCTGCTACCTCTTCTCCATCTCCCAAACTTATCTTAGCAAGCTCCTCGACATTAAATGTTACATCCATATTACTTCAGCACCAAGACATCTCTCTGCAAAATGTTATCTCTCAGCCACCCACAAGAACCAATGAAAAGAGATGTATGCCTTCATCATGAAGAAAACATCTTTCAAGCTGGTCATCTTTTCACTATAAATACATAAAGGTACAATCTTCTTCTACATAATTAAAACCTGCTTGAACGAAATCTAACTTGAGCGTCAGAGTGTCTTGCAGGTACACCCTCCACCTTGTTTCATTAAAGACCCATGAGTTAAAGCTGTTCCAACTACAAGATGCTCTGATTTAAGCCGATTCCAGACCATTTGTGTAGAGGAAGATCACATAATCAGTCAAATTGTAAAACTGGTTCTGATCAGTAACATTAAAAGGAAATATATGGTGAAGAAATCTATTTTTTGGTGCATATGAATTTTTTAATCCTTCATTCATAGTTTTTTTTTTTTGTGATGCAAATTATAACCTAAAATACATACTTAGATGAAAAGAAAATAAATAAAAGTATACTCTTACATTGTGCGAAAGCAAAAACATGAACCAAGAATAACTCATGTGTATAAAATCTCCCCGGACAAACACTCTCTCTCTTGGTGACGTTTTCAACATTTTGTAGGAAAGGAGAAGATAGAATGATTAGTCATTAAGGTAGAGTTACAAATTTAAAATTCGGGAAAAAGAGTATCATGTAACATGATATAAGATTTTTTACCTACTAACTCATGGTTTTTGCACCTTCATTTTTTATTTTTTATTTTTATTACATGTATGGGACCCACATACATTTTTGTTTGAGTAGGAAAGTTTCTTTAAATTATGTTACATGAGGGTAGCTTTGCCCTTTAAAATAATGTCCTAACTAAAAAAACGAATGAGATCTCTAAAAAAGTTGGTGTATATCTTAAAAGAAAAGTTCTCGTGAGAATTTTTATTTTTTTAATTGATCACTAAATAAAAAAATCCTTTTTATGATAATAACTTTTATAATAATATATTTCATTAAACTTTTTGAGAAGCTTAAAAAAAACATGTCAAGCGATACTTAATTCGGTCCTTACAATATATATTATATATATAAGGATTTGCATTCATTATTTAACATGACAATTTTTTTTTTTTATACACACAATATTTTGTGGGACTCGCATTTTTTGGATAAAAAAAACTACGGCACACAACGAATCTTTATAACAAAACACAATCATTTTTTGTACAACATAACTTTTATAAAACCCTTAGGGAGCGTTTGGTAGAGGAGAAATTTTTTTTATCTGGGAATCACGATTTCTAGGAATATGATGAGAAAATGAGTTTTCTGGAAATGTGATCAAAAAGTTGTTTGGTAGACTAACATATTCTCGAGAATATTGGGTTAATTTTCTTGATACTATGTTTAGTTGTATTAAATTTTTCCTTGCCATAGAATGGTATTCCTGGATGGTTTTTTCAAAAAAAATTTCACACAAAATACAATTCCGAGAAAAACAGATTCCCGAGAAAATTTTAAAAAGCCTGTACCAAACGATGCATTCTTATTTACCCAACCAAGAAATTCCGAGAAAACAAAAAAATTCTCCTACCAAACGGGCCCTTATATATATATATAGGGAAAAATGTGTATAATTTTAAAGGATGTAAAGTTGTGTCATTTTAAGAGAGAGAAAGAGATAGATAAAGAAGGAGAGAGAGTTGACAAAAAAAAATAAAGGAGTGGGTCCCACCTTTTTGTGAGAGTGAAATGATGTAAGTTGTGTAATTTTAAATGATAGACACTTTTCCCATATATATATATATATATTGATTTCTATAGAAAAATTCACTCTCAATTTAGTATTTTTTCTGAATTTAGTAAGAACGTGACGTAGTCAATTACGTCCGTAACAAAAAAAAATGTAATAGTAATTTATATTGTTAAATTATAATTTTAATACTATATGTGACGTTAATTTTTAATTTTCATCCCTATCCAATCCGTGGTGGTTAGTTTTTACTCTATTCCTTACTTAAAAGGTAATTTAATAATTTGACGTTTGTTTTACTGGCCAGACAGATTCTCGAAACATGGCTTTTCTATTCAAAATCCACGTCGGTTTTGTTTACCTAGTTCATATTTATCAGAAATAATAGTTGATTATTCTTATATTTGGTTCCAAATCTTTTATAATTGATGGAGGGGATTGAGCAACGGTATGATTTTGATCTCCAAAAAGACAAAATAGAATCATACCATTCATACGTAGCAGCCTCCGGTGCCGTTCAGAGTGGGACTAACCCCGAAAAACCTAGAAAAGCCCACCTCCCATTTATAAATTATAATTTATGGATGACGACAGCCCACTTGCCATATAATACAAGTCCAACTCGCGTGGCCTCAACCTAATACGCTTGGAGCCCACTGACAAGGACATAGAGATAATAACGCCGTCATAACGATCGCCAGACGGTGAATACAAGAGCGTCTAGGTTCTTTGACTCCGTCAAGAGACCGCTGATCTCTAACTAACGCATTCCAACTTTGACGCCAAGCAAACGTTGCCGTCTCTCTCTACTTTATAGAGCCAAAGTTTCACCTCAACCATACACGTGTCTCAACGTGATTGGTCCAGGGTCAAGCCTTAACCATTGCCGTATCAAAGTCGGTCATCTCGTTTTGCTATAAAAAAGGCCCCAAACCCCCTATTAACTCCACAATTGAATTACAACCATTTAGATCTCGTTTCAGCGAAAACCTTCAAGGTATCTTCTTCTTCCATTTCTTCTTCCCCTTTGATTGATTCGTTCTTTTACTTTTTTATTTTCCGTCTAGTCTTGTTATTTGGTTTAAATCTAATGATCTTGCAATTTTGGATCGAATAGATTCGGGTTCGTAGCTGTATTTTGAACACTAAAGAAATTTCTAGATCTGTAATTGAAATTCCAGATCTTGCAATTTTGTTTTGTTCTAGAGTTTCTTTCACAGGATCTGTTATCGAAGTTATCATCAAGATACCAGATCTTGAAATTTCTGGATCTGTTATGTTGTTATTGAAATATTCAAGTTATTATGATTCTTAGGGTTTATGTCGTTTGGTTTATTTATATATATCTCTGATGAATGTGTAGATGCAAATCTTCGTTAAGACCCTCACCGGAAAGACAATCACCCTTGAGGTGGAGAGTTCCGACACCATCGACAACGTTAAGGCAAAGATCCAAGACAAGGAAGGGATCCCACCCGACCAACAGCGTCTGATCTTCGCCGGCAAGCAGCTGGAGGATGGCCGCACCCTGGCCGACTATAACATCCAGAAGGAGTCTACCCTCCATCTGGTCCTCCGTCTCCGTGGTGGTATGCAAATATTCGTGAAGACCCTCACAGGAAAGACAATCACCCTTGAAGTCGAGAGCTCAGACACGATTGATAACGTTAAGGCTAAGATCCAGGATAAGGAAGGGATCCCCCCAGATCAGCAGAGGTTGATCTTCGCCGGGAAGCAACTGGAGGATGGTCGCACCCTCGCCGACTATAACATCCAGAAGGAGTCTACCCTCCATCTGGTCCTGCGTCTCCGTGGAGGTATGCAGATCTTTGTTAAGACCCTGACCGGAAAGACCATCACCCTTGAGGTGGAGAGTTCCGATACAATCGACAACGTTAAGGCTAAGATCCAGGACAAGGAAGGGATCCCCCCAGACCAGCAAAGGTTGATCTTTGCCGGGAAGCAGCTCGAGGATGGCCGCACCCTCGCCGACTACAATATCCAGAAGGAGTCTACACTCCACCTTGTGTTGCGTCTCCGTGGTGGTATGCAGATCTTTGTTAAGACCCTGACCGGAAAGACCATCACCCTTGAGGTGGAGAGTTCTGACACAATCGATAACGTTAAGGCTAAAATTCAGGATAAGGAGGGCATTCCCCCAGACCAGCAAAGGTTGATTTTTGCTGGGAAGCAGCTTGAGGATGGGCGCACCTTGGCCGATTATAACATCCAGAAAGAGTCCACCCTTCACCTTGTGTTGCGCCTTCGTGGTGGTATGCAGATTTTTGTGAAGACCTTGACAGGGAAGACCATCACTCTTGAGGTCGAGAGTTCTGATACTATTGACAATGTCAAGGCAAAAATTCAGGACAAGGAAGGAATCCCCCCGGACCAGCAGAGGTTGATCTTTGCAGGGAAGCAGTTGGAAGATGGAAGGACCCTTGCTGACTACAATATTCAGAAGGAGTCTACCCTTCACCTTGTGCTCCGTCTTCGTGGTGGTTTTTAAGTGGTTGCAAGTACCATTGGTTCTCTTTCTATGTTAATTTCCTCAAATTTCAGAACTTGTTAATGTCTGTGTATGGGTCCGTCGTGGCCTTTTAAATATTTTGAATAATTCTGTACTGTTGTGATTTCTGTATCTTTTAATGTCAAACTCTGCGTTTTTATATTATTTATGCTGTTTTGGTTTCATGCTTTACGGGGATGTCGATTTGGTGGGGGATGTCATTATTAATATGTTTGTGAGTTGTTGCGGAGCTGAATACTTGTTAAGAGGGAGAGGGACTTGGGATGGGTTTTATTGTGAAGTAGTAGACCGGTTAATGCGAAAGGTGGGGAAGGCCTAGATAATTAGTGCTAGATACACTGTCTATCAAAAGAAGTAATCGAGGATTTGCGCTTCCATTATGATCCTTCTCTAAATACTAAATACGCTGTCTATCAAAATTACAATGCTAGGGATAATCTTGAGTTGTATGGTTTGTGAATAATTAATTCAGTATTCCCAGCTAGGCTGTCTTTGGAATGTATGGGCTATTTTCATGGTGATAAGATGTTGATGATAACTGAAGATTTGAGAACCAATTGAGGAGGGGAGAGGATAAGTAAAGGAAGGTAGTTAGGATGAGGTTAAGGTCTAAATGGGTGGACAATATGTCCATAAATATGTCGAGTAGATTTCATGATGTATGTGCAGAATAGAAGAGACACCTAAAACACAAACCCCGAGTTGGAAAGTAAACATTCATGGTATGGAGGTGTTACGCCAAGACATTTTTTCATAATTCATTCGGTATCAACATACATTGATGATATAAGATGAACGATCTGGCAAATACATCATAATAATAATGAATGAAAAGCCAATACTTTGTCATTTGTAGAGGCACCGACTACAATCTAAAGAAACTAAATAAACAAAATTCAACCAGGTAATGCGCTAGTTTTCAATTTTCAAATGTAAAGCATATAGCACAGCATATCAATTGAACTTCAACTTTTATTGTCATAAAAATAAAGATGAGACTACCAGATGACCCAGATGGTTCATAAAAATTTATGATTCAGAAAAAAAAAACCCACAAATCGTTTGTGGAAGGGAAAAGGAACAGCAGAGTCAGATGTGTATCTTGCAGGACCTGGGGTGTTCGAAGAAATGTCTTGACGGATTTGAATTCCATTAAGGTCTACGCCTCTCTGCACGTTATGCATGGCGGGTCACATATTTGAGCTGGAGATGCACACGATTTATGAGATAATTTTTTGTGCTCAACATTAACATTGTTGTAGTCACTTCTGCGGTTCCAAACCAATGTCTGAGGTGGATTTTTTTTTTAGTACAAAAAATGGCAAAGGCCCAAAAGAAAAACTACAAACTAGGAATTTCACAGTCCACAAGTGGACGCATATCGCAGGGACCTCAGTCAGCCTCACAAAATTCTCCCTATGGTTAGCCAACCAATCTGCACACTTGTTACTCTCCCTCTTTCAATTCTTTCCACACCAATTCTTGATGCTATCCACTATTTGAATGTGAGGGAAGCAACAATCTTGCTTGGATATTTCCTGAATGGCTAAAAGAGAATCACTCTCAAGTCTCAACTATTAAGCACTGAGTTTGGCTCTCCCACGCAATTTGGAGACCTTTAAGAATAGCCTAGAGCTCTGCTATCAGGGAGAGCAAATTCCAATTTTATACATGAATCATGCTATCCACTTCCCTTTATCATCTCTAATCAGCCCTCCACAAGTAGCTGAAACTGGGTTCTCCTTCATCGCTGCTTCCACCATCCCCTTTTCCACATTTCGCTGAATAAGAATTCTCAATGGGATTCTGAAAAGTCATAGCACAACTGATCTCTCCTATGTTAGAGGTGATGGAGGTAATCGGATTACAAGGTCTAGAGAAATTTGGATCATGATTTTCATTATTCCTTCAATTTCATAGGAACCAAGAAGTAGTCATGAAGATGTCTCTTGGTCGCTAGTGATTTGAGTTTTATAAAAATAATTTGTTAATTGAAAATTAACTCAAAGCAATAAATCAAAAAAAGATAGAAAAAAATAATTTACTAATTAAAAATCAGAGTAAAGATCCTTTTTGATCCCTAACAAAAAAACACGGTCCCCACTTCAGTCTCTTACAAAAATAAATTAGTTAGTTAGTCCCTAACAAATTCAAGGTGGACCCATTTTAGTCCTTTTGAGGGACTAATATGGGTCTTTTCTGAATTTGTGAGGGACCACGATTTCAACTAAATGGGTCCACTTTGAATTTGTTAGGGACTAACTGATTAATTTAATTTTGTAAGGGACTAAAGTGGGGACCGTGTTTTTTGTTAGGGACTAAAAATGGTATTTACTCTAAAAATTAATTCAAAGTAATAAATCAAAATAATGATAGAGAGATATTGACACAATAGTTTTACGTGAAAAACTCAAAAGAAAAAAATCACAGCCCTAATATCAAAAACTAAAAATTTGACGGGCAACTCCATTATGAAATTTGTGTACAAGGAGTTCTCTTGCATCCTAGTTTCGTAGTACGAAATCCTAGTCCCTAATAATTCTGAAACCCTATCACAAAAAGGTTCTCAAGTTACTCTCAATTTTTCAGAAAAAGAAATATGTTGGTATTGTTGAGGAATCCAAGTGTGAGTGATTGAGTGAAAAAGTTTCACATTGGTTAGAATGGACTAAGTGAGCACCATATAAGTGGAAGGACCCATGCACCTAATGCCTTAAGGTTTTGGGTTTGATTGTAGTGTTCCGAGCTCACTTAATGTTGTTGTTCATTTGGTCTATGGTTGGTGGTCTCTCCCCGCCATGAGCTCCCCCTGCACGGCCCAACAGGTATCTCAAGTTACTCTCAATTTTTAAAAAAAAAAGAGATATGCTGGTATCCAAGTTTACAATTAAAATAATTTACCATGAATGTATGTTCTAGAGTCGGTGCTTCTTTTCCTCAAGATGAATGTATGTTCTAGATAAAGCTTTTCAATTGATACACAAGAAAAAATCCTATCTTGAAAATCTAATTCTCTCTTGTGATTTCATATCTTTTCTCTCGTATTTTGTTTCTCTTATGAATATTATGCAATGAGAACTATTTATAATAATAACATTTTGTCTCTCCTAAAAGTCCAAAAGATATAAATTTGAAATTTGAAATCTTTTTCAAAAACTAACCATAATTCTTTTATCCATAAATGAAATATTAAATGCAATTTTCAAAAATAAGATTTATGATTTTTTCACATAAAAAATGTGTAAATTATAATATCTTATTCTATTCTGTAAAGCAATTCTAATTTTAATCTTTGGCAAAAAATATTTTATTTCTTTTATATGAAATTTAAAAAGATAAAATTTATTCTAAATTTTACTTGATTATATGTTTTTTTTCTCTTTTCATGATATTTTTCATATTTTCTCCAATCTTCGTACAATCGTCAATTATCTTGAATATTATTTCATATCAGAATAAATATTATTCTAAAATCTCAAACAATCAGCTTGTTAGGGATTTTAAGACAATAAATTGTTATCAATTAAATTAACATTAAATTGACTGTAATTATCAAAATATATTTAAAATCAATTAAATAATTGGAACACGACAAATATCTAACAATGTCTTTGCCAATCCAGAGCTTGAGGGTGCTGCCAAGTGCTGTGGAGGTTTTCGCCAATGGTGGAATCTTTTGTACCTTACTATCTTCACTGTTAGAGAGTATTTGCCCATTGGGCATTTTAACAGCACGGAATTTAGCCGTAATATTAACTGACCACCGAAGTGAAATTACTTGTCTCATTAATTTTTTATATATATATATATATATATATATATATATATATATATATATATATATATATTTTAGATACACGCAGTTTAAATTTAATTCTTATATGAAAGTTTTCTAATTTAGTTCCTATACACAATATCACTTATAATTTGGTCCTTATTGACTATTACTACTATAATATTATCTATTACAATTATAACAGTGAAATATATGGACTAAATCAAAATTTAGTGGTATATCTGAGGAAATTTTTTTCCTCTGGCAAGTTAAGATAAGTTTATCTCCGGCCAGTTCAAAACTACGTCGTTTTGTTTATTTATTTTCTTATATTAATTGATTCACCTTTAAATGGTTATGATTTCTTTTTTTTCTCTCTTCCTTCATTACCATTGAATCTATCTTTGTATGGTTATGATTTAGTAGCCAGAAATAAAATTATCTCAAGCAGCTTGAGAAACTATAAACCTTTGCTATAATCTCTATATTATACTTACGAGACAATAAGAATAATCTTATATATAAGAACTAAGTTGAAAACTATGTTTCTTCTTATGGAAAGTTCAAAATACTGATTTTGTTGTTGAAAAATCATTGATTCAGAGGTTAACTGTTGACAAACTAGACCAAGAAATCGATGACATGTGTTGCAACTTATGGTGTTGGTTCAGAAAGAACTCGGACGCTTCTGAGTTTAAACACTCTTGTGATTGTGGAACCCTTGTTGCAAATTTAAACTATGTTCGTGGGAGATAAAATATGACAAATAGATGTCATTGCATAAATATCGAAAAATTATGTGAAATTAAAAAAAAAAAAGCACCTTAATTGAATATCCGAGTTAAAAATTAAGGTCTTCCATAATTTTTCATTGATAAAACCGCTTATGTGACGCTAACATGACATCATCCCCATGAGGACCAATGACAGGACTCGTCGATTTAATTTGACTCTATTAGTTTGAAAAAACTTAACCAATCAATTTTAACTACACAATTCTTTTGTCCAACAATCTTAAATAAGAAGGGTGCTTTTGCTTGAGTTCTTTCACCGCTTTTTCTTATGTATTTGAATACTGTGCAGCCTAAGGTGTTCTAATTTTAATGTCAGGCAAGTCTAACGTTGTTCATAGTGTGCCATTTGGCTCTTCATTGACTTGAACCAAGTTCTGATCGAAATGGCTTACTCAGAACAATTATCCTCTAGAGAAGTTTTCAAACTCCTCTCCCAATTTTATTCTTTAGCGCTGTTCTTTTTCATATTAGAATGGTTTCTGAGAGTAAAGGACCGGTATATTTTTTTGCCATTTATTTCTCTCCTTTGATGAAAATTCGCTGCCTCGCAATTCTGTATTTGATTTGAGGGGAATATTACTCTCATGTGTTATATGAGAGTAGTTCTCTTCTCTCATACTATAAAGAGAATTCAAGTGGATCTCACCATTAAAAAGCAAAAAAAAAAAATATGATTTTTAAAGTGAGAGATCATGGAATAAAATGAAAGTAGTATTTTCCTTTGATATATAATGGCTACTTCGAGAAAGTTAGTTTCCTCATTGTTTTTGGCCGAGTCACACAAGGTTTATATTCCACGTGATAGAGCTATGATCTAGAAACTGGGAGGATCCCTGAAAGAACGGCTCAAGAAATTGAGACTGGAATTCCACATACTTCTTCTTAAAATGAGAAGCACGAAATATGTAATTTCCTTTTCTTCTTAAAAGTCCAAAATTGATGTCCAATCCCATTACCCACAAATGAAGATGTTTTAGATTAGCAGGTATCCCTATCACCTTAATCATTAGTATTCGTATTTATTTTACCTTTTTTTTTTTCTTTCTAAAATTTCACTTTACGTTAAAATTAAAAGTGCAGACAGGAAGGATCGATTTTATGATCATTTGGTGTTGATTGCAGAAACTTTCATATCATATCATGAACAAACTTTCTCAAATGACATCGAAGTTATTTTTACCAAATAATTATTTATTAGATCCATGTTGTCCTTCATTCTTCATTCTTCATGCCCTAAAGAAAAATAAAATTTTAGAATAATATACAATTAATTTGCATTATACATGCTTCAAGTCTAAAAATGTCAAAATGGTTTAAATATTGTTAATTTATGTTCTTTCACTTAACACTACCCATGATATTATGTGTCATGATATGAATATTATATAAGACTGATATAAACTAGTCGGTTAAATCAAAGAACAAAATTCCTTTTAGCAAGCTTCATTTATGAGTATAAAAGTGAAAAAAACAGGTTACAATTTGCAATGTGTTTCAACAAGTTAACTTGGGAAAAAATTTGCCTCCGTTCAATATGTTGATGATATTTTGTGATGTTGTAACAAGAATTTATGCTTTTCTCCAACAATGCTTTTGTAGAGGAGCCAATAGAAACTGAACGGATGAAAATGTAAATATTTGCAATGGGCATAGCATAACGAACTCAATGAATTATGTAGACTTTGAATATTTCCAAAACAGTAATGGCATACGAACTGCACATTCCAGTCTTGCCAAAGAAACTTATGAGGTAAAAAAGGAATATTTTAAAGAATGAAGTTTTTTTTTTTGTTTTTGTTTTTTTTGTGGTTCAGGGTGTTTTAATCCCAGGGACTCAATGAACACTCCTCAGGAAGGGTTGGATAACGTTGGGAATCGTTGCAGTAGTCATAGATGACGAGGTTCCTCTGAACCCAAGCATAATCCATTTTCTGATCATCTGATAGGTGCCAAGCAGCATATTGATCCCACCAATTTTTGGTTGTGGTTGAGACACAGTCAGGATATGGATCCTCCCACTGGCAACCATCCACACTAAAGTCCCTGTAAGATGACACAAAAGGGGATAATTTCCAGTTTGTCTTCTCGAGTCCACCTCTTGTGGCCCATTCATCTGCATTCCAAATGCTGGAGAACAAGTACATTGGCTTCTCATTGGGGAAGAAATTGTTTGGTTTTCCATTGTTCTTGTACACCCTTATCGGAACTCTATCCACAAAAAACCTGTTTGCAATTTGCATAATTCAGTCAACAAAATTTGAATCAGCAGTTCTCGCAAAGGAGCCTCCAAAAGTGCTTTTGGCTTAAGCCTGTAAATGGTTAGAGAAATAATTCCTACATCCAAATATAATCCCTTTTCTTACTCATGATGAAATTCATAGTTACCCCTCTTATTTTTAGTACCTAGATTGACATATCTGTTAGAAGTATAAAATCATTAATAACTTCAATATTTATGTAAAATAATTAGTTCTATCAGAATTTTGATTGGTTATCAGAATTATTATTTTAGGATGACTTGTTCCAGACAATATTATAGAAGTATAATAACAGTTGGCCAACCCCTAGTGTCAGTATTGCGTCATATTGTTTTTTTTTTTTTTTTCTATCTAGCAATATGTTCTCCACAACTTTAGACATTTGAGGAGCTTTAAACTGAAACAAAGTGATACCAATTAAGGGACGAACTGGAGCAATGATAAAACTGTTCCTTCATAACTGAATGGTCATGTGTTTGAATCCAGGAAATAGCCTCTTTGCAATTATGCAAGAGTAAGGCTGCGTACAAGCATTTCCTCCACCCGACACTCGCTAGTGGGGTTTAATGGGGAGTGGTTTTTTTTAAAAAAAAAAAAGTGATACCAATGTGCAAGCGATTTCATGATCCTACATTTTTTAAGAATAGGAGACAGAGAAGTTAACTAGGAGGAGAAGAATGAACTTACACTATCTGGTGGTCGTTCCAAAGGACGGAATAGGTGTGAAAGTCCTCAGTGGGGTCGAACCATAGCATGTGCCTCATCTCACGGCCACCAGTCCCATTCTTGTACACATTTGTCTGAATCAAGTAAGGCTCCCCTGTCCTGTTTCCCAAGAACTCAAAATCAAGCTCATCCCTTTCTGGACCTGCACCATTTTCCGTGCACATCTGCCACAATCGGTATCAAAGACATTATATTAAGAGGAATTCATCAAAGAGGCACATTTACTATATATTATATTTATTCAACACATGCTTATACACTTACATAATAAGCTGTCACGACACCAGCAGAGTCACCACCTACCAACTTCAGCTTCATACTGAACCACCCAAATCTGAAACGCTGCTTTGTTTGAAACCCACATCCTATACCAAACAGTAAATGCATTCTTCAGAAATGGTCTCAAATTGAATGCTTGCAATTCAAAATCCTTCAAATAAGTTCATACTAATTCTAACAAAATGCACATAATATAATGCTATTCTTTTTGGTACCTGTGTCCTTGTCCAGGGAGAGATACCAGATCTGTCCATCTTTGGAAGTAGTAAAATGTTCCTCGGACCACATAATGCTGAAATTATCTTCAAAAGATCCTTTGGACGTAGCTGCTTCATATGAATCACAAGAAGCAGCAAGGAGAGCTGCTAGGAGAAGAAGAAGAATCACAGGCCTTGCACCCATTTGGACTCGGAGAATGAAGATGCTGGATCTCTGAAACCGAGAGACGGTGATGTTCATTAAATGATCAGAATTTGAACATGACTTTGGCACATACAGTTGTAATCTCATATGCTGCTGAACTTTTCTTTTTGGACTGAAGCTGACATTTACTTGTTTATTTATTATTCTGCACGTGCCCAATGTACAAAATTGCCCATACATGTCTTTCCCGGCTCAAATGTTAAACTACGAGAAATATTTTTCTATCATTGCATGAAAAAATTCTTATTATGCAATAAATAAAAAAGTGAAAAAAGAAATAAATGGATTCCACTCAGCTTTTACGTGTTGCATAAGATAAATTATCTCATGTAAAATTGAGAAACATATTTCCCTTAACCTATATACATTTTTTCTACAAGATGTCCTCCTTTTTTAATTGTTATAACAAAAAAGTTTGAAAATTTAAACATATTAATATAGAACTATAATATTATACTATTCTTAAAAGTTTAGTATTCCCATACGTTAGTATTTAATAGTTTAGTACATTATGTTTCTATGGGACAAAGAACAACAAAAATGGGTTGGAGATGTGAAGCCGACAATGGCATATTGGTCAATGAAATAATACAATAATGCAATCCATAATAGTGAGTGAGTTAACACAAAATGTGGGACCGAGAGCCAGGCTGCATTGCAATGGTTTTCTAGGCCAGCACAGCATCACCATCCATATAAGGGTGGGTCCTTCAATATTCATGTGAGAAGAGAACATGAGCACGCTGTTTGGAACAACTAGATAACCAAAGGCCCGAATTAGATTTTTTATTTTTTTTTAAATGTTTGTATAGCTGTGAATAATTTATGAATGTGTTACCCTAACACATATATAATAACTTGTTGAAACCACATCTTCTAAATGAAGATTCCAAGATACTAGTAACCCTAAGTTGCTAAGGATACCCGTTGTTACGTACGCCATCATTATTTTAACTTCGGTTAAGAAAAACAGTTGTAAATTTGATATTTCTTGCACATACAATTGTAACACTAATATATAACTCGTGCGTTTACAATTTAAAAACAATCACACAAGTAAAAAAAAAAAAAGTTTAAATCAAACTATGTAAATGCATTTTCTTCTGATGCATTTATATATTTAAACTATTATAACAATATCTGGATATTTGTAAATTCCTTTTAGAATATTAACCGTTGTTTAACAAGTTGCTTTAGTAATTGTAGTCAAAAAGCAAAAGAAGAATTGCATCTATGATCGCTATGTGCTGCTTTTAATGCATAATTAATCCATCAAACAACGGTTATTACGGGAAAGCGGTGAGAAATAAAGCTTGCTTTTGTTTCTGATGATCGTAAATAAAAATAAAGATGACCAACATGCTATAGAACACTTGACCCTGTAAAGAATGGATAAGATGCTAAGGGGAATCAGCATTTTATTTTTCTCAATTGACGAGGCGATGCATGTGACAACATGCAGAAGTACCTTACAAAAAATTAAACAAATCACGGTATTAACGAAAAGCATTTATTCAAAAATTAATGATCTGATTGAATGAATGGAACATAAATGCATGGGCTTCTATAATGCGAATGTCAATTCCCCCAATTACACAAATGCCTGATCGATAAGAAATAATGGACCCAATCATCCGAAATCACACTGACAGAAGCCATGTACAACGGAGGATCAAACGGAAGAATGACGATAGTTGGACAAATTTGTAGAAATGTATATGTAATTTAAATAGAAAAAGTCAAAGTGATATTTTGGATTTTTTTTTTTTTTTTTTGGGCCCGCGAGGGCGGGGGGGGAAGAGGTCAAAGTGATATTTTATTACTCTAGTTTTTTATATAATAAAACCAACATGTTATTTAGACATTAGTGACGAATTAATGTATATAAATGATACTGTACGTAAACAAATACATGGATCAATACAATCCAAATAGCATTATGAAAATGAGTCGATAGTTTAACACACTTTTTTCAGCAAGCTATTGCTTATCAACAATCACATAAGAAAAAAATGGGCAACTCTCATAACAGGTTGGATCTGGAATAAAACAGAATTATATATAATATTTTAGGAACCTCCCTTATCAGTTGGACAGTTTGGCCGAGTGGTCTAAGGCGCCAGATTTAGGCTCTGGTCCGAAAGGGCGTGGGTTCAAATCCCACAGCTGTCATAATCAGTTTTTTTCTTTTCTTTTTTTGTGAAGCAACTTTGTTATTTTATATTTTCTATTCTTTGTAAACAGTAGTACGAAATAATGGGCCAAGGTCCGCCCAAATACCGCAGAGAGTTGTACGAGATATTCTAGGCCTCCGATAATATGGGCTTTTATGTTCCACATTGATTTAAGTCTTTATCATCGTAAGTGTAGGTATTACAGAGCATATTCACAGGAATATAGATGCAATTTCGACCCCAAACAGCATAGAAGGAAGGGACATTCACGATGTTGCCACTCCTTTAATAAAAAATTACCGGAATTTCACTCCCGAAATTTTTTTTGCCAAAATGCTATGTCACAATCTTACTGGTCTGACAAGCGGGAATGGTCTGGACACGTGTCAGCATCTGAATGGTCAACCATTTTCGCTGGACTGCTCAGCTAGAATGACAGAATGCTGACACGTGGCAAAAGTACAGACGTTCAGATAATGCTTGTACTTTTGCCACGTGTCAGCATTCTGTCATTTTAGCTGGTCAGCTCAGCGAGAATGGTTGACCATTCAGACGCAGACACGTGTCCAGATCATTCTCGCTTGTCAGACCAGTGAGATTGTGACATGACATTTTGACAAATTTTTTTCGTGAGGTGGCAATACAATAATTTTTTTGCCTAAAAAGTAACAATATGGTCAAAGTCTCATAGAAGGAATGGGCATGGTTCAATTGCACACAAGTAAAACTGGCAATAGAGAATCCCGTCAAAAAATGATACGGGACTTCCATTGCAGAGATGAATTGGCACAGGTCTAGTACAAAAAGCATACGGGACACAGGTCTAGTACAATCAGCCAGCCACCTTGACAAGTTCGAACCTATTTTATACTAATCCAACTGTACCGGACCGTTATTAATCCGCTCAAAAACAAAATAATCCATCCTGCTTCATTCAATTTGGTCAAATCAGCTCAACAAACCGAGCATTTTTTACTGATTCTAATGATTACTCATCATAGGCTCCCCAACCTGCCTTTGGCAAGAGTTGGAAGGAGACGAGTTGAGTACTAAAATATAAATAAATCAATAAAATCAAACGTGGAAAGATTGATTGAATTTTTTTTTAGATTGAGATATATAGTACCATATTGATTGAATGAGCAACTAATATGGTCTTTATAAGGTCTTGGGCACTCCTACCCTTAGAGCTAGCTTTTGGGATAATGTATCAGAGCCACACCATCCCCCACTTTAAAGTGGATTAAAATAAAAAAAAAAGCACAAAGATTGGGCCTGTGCATAATCCACGTTTCAAGCCCAAAAAGCTCTTGCGTGAGAGAACGTGTTATATAGTCCCACATTGATTGGATGAGCAACTAATACGGCCTGGCCTTTATAAGGCCTTGGGCACTCCTACATTGATTGGTGTATCACAAGATTCTTTACCGGATAACTGAAAAGATTGATTGATGATTATATCAATACATCAGACGTGAAAAGATTTATTCCTTTTGTGGATAAGTCATCACTAAAATGACATCTTTAAAAAAAAATTAAGGTGCTCCACTATCATTTTCCGCAAGGCTAACCACAAGATTTTTTTTATTTTTTTTTCCGTAAACAGGCTAACCACAAATTAGCCGGACATTATACAAATCTCTGATTCCCTCACACTTTTATTCCTTCTCTTATCCTCTCACGTCACTTTCGTTTTTCTCTCCTTCAAATTGGGGTTAGTAGTTTATATAAATCACAAAAGTAATATTTATATTTTATGTTATGTATGAACTATGAAGTACATTTAAATATATCTAATTACTTAGGTTAGATATATAAAAATAAATGTCGAACCGTATAAACGCAAGTTATCCAACGAATCAAAATTGATCTAACGGGCAACAGAACACAAATGAGTAGAAGAGTTAACAGCGTTTGCGTTTTTGTCAATGACAGTGGGTCTGTTTGATTATGTCCTTTTTTAAAAATAAAAATAACAATAAAAAACTGTTTTATAGAATAATTAATAAAATAGATTTTTCCATATTTTTTTATTTTAAAAATTAAAAATCAAAATACAAAATTAAAAAAACTCAGATATTTTTTTTTTAAATTTGATTCTAAAACCTAAAAATTATTAATACAAAACAAACATTATTAAACATATATTTTTTTTCGAAAAATCAAAAAACAATTTTTAAAAATATAATTCAAATAGGCTCATCATTTTCATTTTTCAATTTTTTTTTTATTTTTAGTTGTAAAAACAAGAGAGCAGGTGAGGTGACTAGTACACGTACATCAACTTTTTTAAAAAAATTCTTATATATTTGTAGTATTTTTAAATATAATATAATATGTATTTTTTCCCCTTAATTGTTTAAGTTTTTAAAAGTATAATAAGATAATTAAAAATAAGTATTAATTTTTATTAAAAAATAACATCATGTGTTTCAAAAAATTGTCTAAAATTTATTCTTTTAGAAAGCAGTTTCTGTCAAGTACAACTTGTGTTGATTAATAAATTGTCTAATTACCTCACAAGTTGCTGTTCGTCTTTATTGACTGCGAATCACACAGAGACAAAAAGTGACTATCAAATGAAAGTGGGTGCAAGTGGGGGCGATGAGTGCTGACAATAATTACCGAAGGAGATTAGAATATTAAATGTCAGACAACCTTTGGCGCGAAAATATTATAAGTGGATGCATTAAATAATAAACAAGACTATGTTATCCATATTACAAAATTCTTATTTTAAAGGAAAATGCATTTATCATTTGCATGACAAATGAATAGTTGTCATGTTAAGAAAAAGACATATTATATAATATTAAAAAAAAAGTAAAAAGGCATATTGTTCAATAAATTTAACTTATTTTT